GTCTCATCCAAAGTCACTTTCCTCCTGGTGGTAGACTGCAGTGGGAGTCTTGCACTCACCTGCATGAACAGGTTGAATTTCTGGTCCTTCTTCTGCCTCGTCTTGATGAGCTCCAGTGCAGACGGCTGGTTACTGCAGAAGGTTGCCACTGCTCTCTTTAACTTTTGCTCTTCCTCCCCACTGAACTGGATGCGAGTGCACAGAGAAAGCAAAAAATGCTTAAATATTACCAGCTTACGTGCCAAGAGTGCATGATGTACTTGATGATTTCTACTGAAACAACTCTGAAAATATTTTAAAAAACAACACAGAGCCTGCAGCCATGCCAGCAGAAGTTATCTACTTGCACATTGATGCTTTTAGATATAAATATAGAAGCAAAGCCTGCCAGATAATTCAGGCAAAGAACTTGCACTCATTTCCTCTGCCTTATGACACCTCCACCATCACAGCATCCACCCGTAAGTCCGCTCGGACATTAACTGACCATTTCTAGGTATATCTACACATAACATATTAGAGGGGAGTGATGAGGTAGACACTAAACTAGCAAACTGGTACTGGAACACGCACCTTTATTGTGTTAGCAGGATAATATTTCACTATCAAGACTAAACACAAAGGCTGAGCCTGATAGGAATGTTTTAGGTTTGCTGGTATTTATTTACTAAACCCAAATTGTTGCCCAAATTTTGATTTTGACCTGAATGGCGATGCTGTGGGAAAAGACACATGGACCTCAAAAGTCTTTAACATAATGTAATGTGGGGATTGTGAAGACCTCTTTACCATTTATCTAGTCTGGGCAGAAGGTGACTAAAAATACAAATAAACGCAGTTTCTGTTTTCAGTCCTCTCTCACAGATACTTGAAGCCAGCCTTACCCATCCCAGGAGATCATCTCCGATCTGACCGATCACAGACGTCTCGTTCCTCTTCCTGATTGCAGTCATTTGTTCTGTTATAGAAACTGGAGCACAGCGAGAAGATTATTTTCTTTTATACATCCAAAAATACTCACCAGCTAGCTCAGTTTGGTGATGACTCACATATTTCTCAATCATTAATTGATTAGCAACATAACATTTACAAAATTACAATTTTTACCCCATTTCCAAAAAAGTTGGAACGCTGCATAAAAAGTAAATAAAAACAGAATGCAGCGATTTGCAAATCTCATAAACTCATCTTTTATTCACACTAGAACACAGAGAACATATAAAATCTTAAAACTGAGACTTTTTAGTATTTTATAAAAAATAATTTAAAAAAAGCTTATTTTGAATTTGATGGCAGCAGCACAAACCAGGGACAGGGGCAACAAACGGCTCGAAGTAAGTAAGTAGTGAAAAGAAGTTTCAGTTCCTCAGTGCAAACTCACCAAAGGCCAAACAAAAAGTCCAGCAGCAGGTCTCCTCAGTTGTTAAAAGAAGAGGGGATGCGACGCAGCAGTAAACGCGGCCCTGTCCTGACTTTTTTGAGACTTCTAGCTACCATCAAATAAAAACGAGCTAATATTTTTCATAAAGTAGTCAAACGTCTCAAAAGGAAAAAACAAAATCTGTGTAATTGTTCCATTCAGTTTTTATTTTTTGGGGATTGGGATTGAAATTTAAAACCACGCCCTCTTGTTATAGCTCCCACTCTGGACCATCTCCTTTCCCTGTGACTGTTTTCCTGAATCAGTTCATGTTAAGGGCTTGAAAGGGAAAAGGCATGGCTGTGAACACTAATGACGTGTCATGACTATGTCAGCACACGTGTTTAACCTACAAGGGACGATGGACAGTCATTTACTATGATGCCAGCTTTATATTTGTGTGTGTCACTGTGAAATCTCCGAGATTTTTTTACACGATCTGGCCCATTGGCAGCGTGACAAGGACAAAGTGTGTGCTGTAAGTGTTTTTATAACATTATAAACTTTTACTTTATTGTAACATCCAGTAACTTTCAGTCCCTTCCCTGTAATGATTTTTCATTGGACCATGAAATGACCAAAATCCAAAAATCAATCAATTAGAATATATGAAAATCTGCCGTAGATGAAGGAAACAGTCTGTGTCTCATTAACACAATTACAGCCACGCCCCTACTCAGTCATGTGTGAAATGTGTTACTGTGCAGCTAATTGATTGTTACCATGAAGCTGAATGATTTCCTCCAGGTTGATAAAGATGTGTTTTATGTCTTCTGGTGGAAGGATGCCGTCCCTGTTCAGCCTCTGGCAGAAAACACAGTCCAGCACCTTCAGCATCCTCAAGTGTGCACGCTCAGTGTAGAACAGCTCTAAAGAGCGAACGGACAAATGCATGCATGTGGATAAAATTTGCACAGATTTCTTTTTTCTTTTTTAATAATTTTAGAAAAATGTGTAATATTGGCGATTTACCATTGATGACTTCCTGCCGGTTGATCTCCTGTTGCGTTAAGCCCATCAGGACGCCTCGAGGGACCAGTCCCTGCCAGATCAGAGGATCTTCTTCACACTCAGCCTCTCCGCCTTGGTCATCTTCACTCTGGATGTCACCCGGTACCTCCATCCTAAAGAGACAAAGAGAGACTGGCTATCATAAAGATAAATGTGGCATTAGAAAGGGAAACAGTTACTGCATTTAAATTTTTATTTAACACAATAAACTATTTAAAAAGTATCAGTATCATTAGGATATTTTGACAAAATTCCCAACCCACCTTTCTAATAGATGGTTTGTCCCGTGACAACCATGACCATAAAGTTAAAACAAACAAACCCCCAATATGTTGATTCATAGGTTACATTTTTTTTAAATATAACAACTCTCTGGTTATTTATATCCAATATATGCAAAAAACTCTTTGAAAATGGATACAACTTTTATTTGGTTGCGGCAGAGGGTCGCCCTCCCTGAGCCTGGTTCTGTCGGAGGTTTCTTTCTGTTAAAAGGGAGTTTTTCCTTCCCACTGTCGCCAAAGTACTTGCTCATATGGGGTCATATGATTGTTGGGTTTTTCTCTGTATGTATAATTGTAGGGTCTACCTTACAATATAAAGCATCTTGAGGCGACTGATGTTGTGATTTGGCACTGTATAAATAAAATTTAATTGAATTGAATTTGGTTTTCCTTCTTTGCTTTCAAATCGTACATTAGTAGGCGGTTACTTCCTTTAAATCCAGAAATTTCCTTTACAGTGGCACACAGCCCAAAAATGTTTTTAAAAACAGACTTAAAGCTGCATCCCCAACTTCAACTACCTGAAGGCCTCCTGATCTTCATCCCGCTGCTCCACTGTGGAGGGGCTGAAGTCAAACTGAGTGCCGGTTGGACCGGAGACGCCGTCGTGGTTGTCAGCAGACTGCACGCTGTCGCCTGGTCTGGGCTGCGTGCAGAACGGAGAGACATCTGTAGAATAAAGGAGAGAAGAGGAGTAAAATACATGAGACAATTAAGACTCGAATGGAGCTTTATTTTGAACAAATTCAACAGTATCCGTATTCTGCAGGGATATTTAGTACAAGTTACTGAAACTAGAGATAGTGTGTGAGTGACTCCGTGTTCATCCCACATGTAATGGAAGATTGGGGCAATTAAATAAAAGAAAATTATCAAAATTTAATAACGAACAAAAACTGGAATATCTTACTGGATTCTGACTCTTGTCCGCCTGCCTCTGAGACCTGAGTGGTGGGGGAACTGTGTGCAGGGAGGGTGGTGGCAGGCAATAATTGGGTATCTGATCCATCGCGGATCCGTCCAGGACTTGTGGCGGACTGGTCTGATGGTTCAGACATGCCAAGAGGCGACTGAGGAAGCTTTGGCGGACGCTGCTTGATCTGGTCCACAGCTTTCACGACTGTGCAGAAACCCATGAGCATGAAGTATCACACACTACACTGATAACATTATTGTATGTACACCCTCAATTATACACAGATACAGCTCTTTATGCAATAAGCCAGCAAATACCTCACGGTTAAAATATATATTTTTTTTCTCACCTGGGGTGGGGTCCACTCTGCTCGGACGCCGAGGGGGGCGGATGTTGGGAAACTGATGGAAATAGTTAGAAGTTACACATTGGAGTAAATGATTCTCAGTTCTGAAGTTCACTTAAATGTCAGTCACATGTCACCTGTGTGGAAAAACTACTGTTGCCTGTCCCAGCACAGCCTTGAAGGGAGGTTGTCATACATTCAGTGGCCAGAATACACAGGGAAGCAAGCTGAACATACTGGGAGTAACCCAGATGAGAGGCGTTTCCATGCTAAACGCACTGGAAAGGCTAATTAGCACAGACAGGAGAAGTAAGTGGCTCCTAGCTTTCTCTTTGTCTCTGTGCTGCATGTGCTTAAGGTCTCACACCCTGACGTTGCCTTTGTTTATTTGACTCTGCTCTTAGTTGTGGATCAATAAACTGCACTACAGTAAACTCAAAAAAAGATCTACTTCAGAGGACGTTCGAGTGTTTTTTTAACTTCTAATTGAATCTAAAACGCTGAATCCAAAAGTGACCAGCCAGACAAAGTTTATTATTACTGTTTATTATATTGTTATATTATATTGTTTATTATTTTCACCTTCCTCTCACCCACTTCTCAGACTTCATACTTTTCTCATGAAAAAACAAAACAAAACATGTTTATCTAGGAACTATTTTTTTAAAGACAACAAAGTCAGTAACTTCCCACAGATCCATCCATTAAACCATGCACTTAACTACTTACTCATTAGTGGAATTGTATAATGATTGCATTATTGTGTATGGGTTACTCTGTGTGTGTGTGTGTGTGTGTGTGTGTGTGTGTGTCAGGAGGTTGCACCTTAATCCTGGGGAAATTGATGCGAGCACGTTTATGTTCGAGGCCTCGATGCTCCTTCACTTTCACTCCGAGGTGCTTCATGTAGGTGAGAATCACATACTGCATTGTTTGCCTGCAATAAGAGACACACAATGTGTAGCAGTGTAACACAGAACACGTGCTTCTGATTTTCTCATCTATGCAGCAGCTCTTAATGATCACAGTATTAATAACAGACGGACGTTCTTTCAGACAGACCATCTCTTACAAAGAAAGAAATATCCATCATATTATTGCAATAAACAAAAGAAATACCAGTGGACCAGTGGATCTATAGTACCAATTTTAAACTCCTACGTTGCCTCGTTCACAAGCTTATGTGCCTACGCCACCTGTTCGCATGTCTGCAGGGCGGACGACAATATCTCGTCAGTCTTTTACAGCTGAGCAGTAAAAACACCCGTCTTTGATTTTTTTTTCCCAACACTGATGACTGGAAAACCATTTTAAGTTGTTTGGAGGTGAGGGGGGGGGGCTACATAAAACAACGGTTTTATAGTGTGTTGCAATGTAAAGCTGTGGTGTGATGGGTGCAGTACTAGATGTCACCACTGGGGGCAAGAGATTCCACATTTGCGTCTCTTGCATGGTGTATCAGAGCTTTATGACTGTCTTATTCTTTCCCATGTGCAAGATTTCTTTTTCCCACCCACCCTTTATTTTTTAAGGACGTCCAACAAGATCATTCAGGGGAAGTTAATGAATGATGTTGAGCCGATCGAGACGTGGCATCAGCGGCATCAGTACAACAAATTTTCGAGCAATGAAATTTGCCCTGATGTCAAAATATTTGCGAGTAAAGCACCTCCATGATTAATTTTGTCTTACATGTGACAGACTTCTATATTTGTTCAAAGATATAAAACTGTGCTCACACAGACTTTGTTTGAGATATTCTGTCTTAACATTTAGTCACAGATGGGACAATGATTTATAAATATCAGAACAGAACAGAAACTATAAAACTTCCCCAAAATCATTCACACTGAGTATCCTGCAGCTGCCTGATGATATCAAATATAAAACTCCCTCGTCTTACCACTTCTCCTCTTCTGAGCTCTGTGATGTCAACCTGCAAAATCACACACACACAATCACATGATGCACGTCTGTGTGGGTGTTTTTTTTTTAAAGAAATACAATCAGAAAGGAGCATAGGGGTTAAAAATACACATCTAGGTGTCTTTGTGGCTCAGAGACTTACAGGATATCCTCTATCTTGAAGAGGATGTGTTCAGCACAGGAGCATTCTTTCTCCAAGGCCTGCTGGTCTCTTCCTGGCTCAGAGTCCAACTTACAGAGCTCGTCTTCGGCCAGCGTCAGACCCATGCTGCGCTTCTGTCTGCACACCGAGACACAGAGCGCATGTACATAGAGAAATATTACTTTACACATACATGTATCAGATATCTGCCAGGAAAATATTCAGGTTCAACATTTATTATAAGAATAAATTTAACAGCTGAGTGACAGCTACCTGAAGTCTTCCAGGTTCTTGTGCAGGTCTGGTAACAGCGCGTCCTGTAACGTCTGAATGTACTGTTTACACAGGCTGTCTGGGATCAAGTCCAGCCTTCGCTTCTCTGTCACACACACACAGAGAAAATATTCAACTCCAAAGCATCCAATTCACAAATTAAATGTGAAAAAAGAACATTTATAATTTATATAAAGGAATCCGGTTTAAACCCTAGTCGCGTATCTGCTGTTGTAGAGCCTGTTTTCAGCCACTGCAATCGATGATATCAGAACGGTAGCTAATACTGTCAAATACCCCAAGTTATTAGAATTGATTTCTTTTCTCTGAAGCTTTCAAACATATTTTATTTACGAGTGGGAGTGTGAGACTGACACACAGATTGGTGCAATGTCAGTAGTGATGAGGATGTTGTACCGGCTTCTTGCTGTGAAGAGTGAGCTGAGCGGTCGATCTACGTTCCTACCCTCACCTACAGCCACAAGCTGTGGGCACAGTGAATAAATGAGCTATTTCAGGTGGGTTGGGTATCTGCATCCTGGATGCGTCTTAGGTAAGGTTATCTGGCCCAAGACACGCTGGAAAGATTACATGTCTCAGCTGTCATGGGAACACCTCTGTACCACTCTGACAAAGCTGGAGGAAGTGGATGGGGAAAAGCCAGTCTGGACGTCTCTGCTTAGACTGCTACCCCTGCGACTAACACCCAGATACAATGAATATCTTACACACTACAAAAGAAATAACAGTAATAAATTGCATGATATTTATCCATATTTACCAGTCAAGCATGCTCAGTTTACCTTTTTCATTTCTCAAGGTTTCATGAATTTGCATGAAATTGGAGTTTCTTAATCTCTCTCACTCACACACAAACACTTTCCTGAAAATAATAATAATAATTTTGTGGTCTTAGTTTTTGTGTATAATAAACTCTTTGTTAAACTGCTTCAAGCATCAGTTTGCTTATTAGTCCCCAAGCAGCAGAGGTGGACAGTGTAATTCATTAAGCTTGCTGTCTTCTGACTACATCTTCTACTTCCATAGTCCAGCACATGAAAAGCAGAGTTCAGATTTTAACTTTTCAAAGCGACATGTACAGTATGTGTGAAGTTTAAAATCATGAAATATGATACTTTAGAGCAGTGGTTCCCAAACTTTTTTTTTTGCTGGGCACCCCTTTGTTTTACAAGAAAAATGTTCGCGTTTTCAAACTCCACTGAGGTTTATTTCACACCTCAAACAATTAGTAAACAAATAAGCAAATACAAGTAAACTGCAAGAAATTACAGGTAGTAATGAAATAATCTCCAAACTCTTTTACGCGATGTCCACACTTAAATGGGTATTTTTGAAAACGCAGCTGTTTCTATGCGTTCGGACCTTTCGTCCACACGTCAACGTTTTTTCTCACCGCCGACTGCTGTTTTTTTTTTTACGCCATTTTTTTTTTTTCCTTTTGGTTTGGGCGTGGAGTGTTGGTTTCGTCACGTCACGTGTATGTTCTTTTTTTTTTTTCACGTTGTGCTGTGCGTTATTTTTTTGTTTAGATGAGTTGCATTGTGGCATGTCGGGTCGAGATACTGTTCTTTTTATTTTGCTTTTTTTCGGTTTTTCCCGGTTTCCTTTTCCCCCTGCGTTTCTTTTCCTTCCTTTTGGAAGGGCGGGGGGTTCAGGTTTTGTTTTTTTTTTTTTTGTTTTTTTTTTCCTGTGTAATAATATTCAACATTGCTATCAATACATTTCTCTGTGCAAAAAAACATAAACAACTGTGGGATACTGTTTGTGCGTGGTTTGAACGGGGGAAACAAATTGTGGCAGGATCAGCCTGATATTATTTGGATCCCATTGTAACTTTACTGTATAAAGAGCTAACATCTCCAAAATGTCAGGAGTAGTTAGTCATTACAAGAAGTGTTTGTGAACTAAAAATCAAGAATGTGGGATGCTGTTTGTCCGTGTTTGTCCAGCGCTGCTCCCGACGCAATGGAAACTAATTCTATTGCAGAGACCTACCTCGGCACTTGTGCAGGTGAAGCCAAAGGGAAGACAATGCTTCACCATATTTTCTACTCTTTGGCTTAGAATGAAGTTGGTTTGGAAACATAATTGGCGATGCTTCATCTCCTGCTTTGCGTTTGTGTGGAAGCCTCGTCAAAAACCTGTCAATTATGCTAGCAGTGTCCAAGCGTTCTTTTTTTTTTTTCCTTTTCATACCGCGCTCCCCCCTGCAATGGCTCAGGGCCCCCACACTTTGGAAGCCTCTGTTTTAGAGGATTCCTCTAATGCCTTACCTAGCTCAGCAGAAACGGTCTCTGGCACCGGCACTTTAAGATTCTAGATAAGACAACAGAAGGAGAGTTAAGAATCACATCAACACACAAACACTATTTTATTTTTTTTTTTTTAAAACAAAAACAGGAAAATTGTCACAAAGAACAGACACTGACTGAGAAAGAATCTAATAGACCAACTTACTGCAGTTCGATCCATGAATAGCGTGTGTAATTCAATAAAGAAGCGTCGACTTTCTTTGGAGTTGGTTTGCTTGTACATATCAGCGTAGAGGTAACACAGCTAACCATAGGGGGAAAATACAGTTAGTCCTTTCTATTAGGTTCTATTAGTCCATGTTTGCATAGCTTCTTATTTCATTAATTGCATTACTTATTCAAAACATGAACAAAATACAACATCGTGAGAAAAAGGTCTCTTTAGGTCAACAGCGGTGTTCCACAGGGCTCAATCCTTGGCCCACTTTCATTTATGACAAAGTAGAACTTGGCAACCCTTTTTATGTCCCTGAGTTTTATATTCATACATGATACTGAGACTGCTTTATATTTTAAGGATGTAAAATGCGTTCTGTGCTGACCAACACCGTTAACACACTAAATTATGCTCATATTGAACTCGTATAATCAAAGAAATGGTTTATCTTATATTACATCAGTCTGCAAGATTTTCCATCTTGCCAATAGTTTCACAGCTCAATAGTTAACACATTTCTGCAAGGTTTATTACTTTTCTATAATGTCTGTGTAAACTGCATTCACATGTTTTATGCTTCTAAGACATAAAACAACAAAAGCATTCTTCTACCAAGTGTTGCCTCTTTATACTGCTAAATAGCCAGCTCCATTGTTGTCGATAAACTGTGAAAAACACATTAATGAGCCACACTGTTGCACTGTCTGACATGTTCCTTTGTTATGATGAAAAAGGCTCTTTGTAGTTTATTTTTAGTCAGTTCACTTTCCTGCTTCTGTAAAGACTCGCAGTAGGACTGAATGTGTATTTATCATACCAACAGTCCATGGTTACAGTTGTTTTTAAGATTTACATCTTCAGTAGGAGCGGCTGGGGTTGTGATCACCAATGTTTTGTCACAGATGCTTGGCCCATTTTATATATAGAGTATGTGGTTGTGAATCATGAATGCAGTGTGAAAATAGAAAATGACAAAGAACAAGTTCACGGAAAGTTTGGTAAAATGAAGTTTAAATACAATTAAAATGCCTTGCTACTACTTTAGGAAACAGTATACGCATATGCTTGCTATATACTTATGTATGCTTTTAATTTTCAGCCTGCAGTGGCCTCATATTGGCATCAAATGATGATACCAATGGATTCAGACTATATTGGCAGCAAAGGCATTACAACACACTGATTTGTACTGTGTTTGTGGCTATACCAGAGGAGCAGGGTCAAACTGTGAGACCACATGGTGGAGGAAAACTGCGAGGTGTGCCGGCCGAGACTTCAGCGACTCAATACTCTGGAAACAGGTACACTCGCCATTGATCTGGGGAAAGGCATCCATTTATTAGATCGGATGAAGATCATGTGACCCAAAAATCAGAGACATTTTGCCAGATACCTGTTCTTGTGAGGATTCAAAGTAGTCGTCTTCTGCTCCAATAATCTGAGGGTTTACGAGGTAAGGAGGGCTACCCGCACTG